CTCATTTTCAATCAACAGCTACATATGCTAGGATCAACAAGCAGTACATGTCGCAATCATGGCAGGTGCAATCAAGAGAAGGTTATCACACACCAATGACAGTATTCGATTTAATACTCGAGGAACCTATTCGAGGCAGATTACTTAATGGTTTAGGTAGACTGTGCTGAAAACAATCGATTACTCAGAGTGAATGATACGACGATGAGCAAGTATAGCGTGGTCTACCGAGAGCTAAACCAGAACAGATAACGCCATAGACGCAGTAACGCAGTCACCAGCTGTAGTAACGCAGCAGCAGGTCGTTCCTACGCAATTTTCAACATAGATTAAATTTGCCCTAAATACGAACACAAACATGAGATCTTTATCGGATGTTTCTTACGCAGGCGTCTGTAATACTGAACGCGGTAATCAATAGGATGATAGGAATGAACTCCATGTACTCGTATTTTTAACCTAAACCTTCAGTTAAAATTCAGATACACGAAACTGGTAACTGAATAGGTTTTGAAACGTTCTGATTAATCGCAACCTAAACCTTCAGTTAAAATTCATGTATTCACAACCAATAGGTAACTGAATGGCTTTTGTGACGTTCTGATTAATCGCATATTCCATTATGACGTTCATCAGACAGGAGCTGAAGGGTAGGTTGTGAACTAGAACGCTGCGGGTTGCCCTCCACCCTTGACGCTCCAGAGGAGTGAGCACCACAGAGGACGTCCTTGGCAAGCAGTTCACGCTCGACGTACAGGCCCAGCGCATGCATGACTTATGTCTAGGAATTTGCTTACGTCACGATAGGCTGATTATCATTCATGGAAGCTAAATATTAATGGAGTACAAGTAAACTCTTATCCCGGTTGAACAACGCAATAGAATAAATCTGTGGCAGGTCTTTTAAATCTTTTAAATAATATACCAGGTCGCACAAAGCATTCAGACAAATGCCTTTCATAACAGAGGAAGTTGCTTTCAAAGAAATAATTTGATTTTCACACAACATGAGTATGGAATAAAGACCCGACGAGCTGTACACAGGAATGAGTGATGAGCTACAATGGTCAAAATAAATCTTAAATCAAACCTCCCATTCTATTTTAATGGACCTAGATGACCGAAATTCGTATGCAAAACTCTTTGGCACATTTTTGGTGGCGTTAAATGAAGCACGCTTAGTGGTATATTTTCATCCCACACTGAATATTGACAACAATAACTAAATAGCTGGCAATGACTCATGTGATATGGTCAGTGGAGCTGTCTAGGATGCGTCAGGGATATCTTACACTAAATGTCACTCGGTCATTTCAAGAAACAGGTTCTATATTAATAAGAAAAATTGTGAGCCCTCTTACACAGCTTCCACAATTATCACTACGGCCATCGTAAGTCAACCAAGATTTCACGTCTGTGATAAGAAGGTTTAACTTGAACCCAGATCTTATAACTGTGGTAAGTCAATAATTTGTATCTGACCTTAGTTGATAAGGAGCTCAGACTGCAATCAATCTCGGCAGCAAAGCAATTCCTACAGAAAAAAAATTCAGAATTTGCGGTCAATTAGCTCGCGAAGCTTGTATCTACTTGGCCATAGAGAGGGATTACCCCCACAGCGGCTGCATGTTCATCATTTTCGACTATCATCGAAAATGTTCGTCAGTCGTGAACAATTTTCAAAGAATATGGGAAGTTGATTCATTGTTGTCATTCACGCGATAATTTGCGAATGAGATCTAGGTACGGGATCTTCTTATATTGTAGATCTTCAGGTACGAAATGAACAATATACGATCTTAATTACACAGCAGACGCACGTTGTCATGGCGCACCGCTTTCAAAAGCTTTCAGTGAACTATTATGAACTTATAACAATGTTTTGGATAGTTCCGCAGTTCATCAACAGTTAAACTAACGCGTATAGCTCGCGTGAATTGATACACTTTGCTCGCGCAGTATAATGAATATCTAGAATTATACTTAGAACAACAAATTTAGCATCTCTCCATACTAACAACTAAACCCTAATTACACTAATTATCCTTCAAACAGTTACGTACACGACACAGCCATCAAGTTTTAAGTTCGACGATGATTGAGACAAGCGAATATATATAATTGCTCATCCGCAAAGAAATTTTGTGACGGCGGGCGCCTTTCTGAGAATTCAGGGACATCGCTAATGACATTGACAGCAGCATTCAACTGAGTCATGTTACGTCACTCACCTTCGTAAATTTACGAGGCCTAATTTATAGTCTTTCAAGAATTAATACTATATAATTATTTCTATAATTTATAAAATAACATAATTAATTAATTTATATAATTCATAGACTTTCAAGAATTCTTAGCTAGACACTACGAGGGAAACCATGATGGGAGTCACGTTTTTTTTATTTCTAGGGGATAGTTCCCCTAGAAGTAAAATTTTTAGAAATTTTTAGTCGCAAAAACGATCAAAAATCGCTAGATATGAAAAGATCTAACTACTATATGCTAACTATAGATAGCTAGATATGCAAAGATCTAGTTACTATAACGCAGTACTAAAAAAGAGATGAATGAAAGCTACACAATACGCATGAAACAAGGCTCGGGTGCTGCGTAGACCCCCTCCCCCCCACCCGCTCCGTCCAGTCATGCAGTCGCCTCGTTTCCTGGAACTGGAAAGCGACTCCCTCTCTCATCTTCACCCCGCCCCCCGCCGCTCTTCACACGCGCCTCTCTAGCAACTCCCAGCAACCACATCATGGGGAGAAAACGCCGCTCAACAGCATGCATTTCAGATTTGATCACATCATAGAAATCCGTTACCCTTTGCAGAGATGAGCGTCTACAAGTCTACGTCAGCAAACTGTTGCGTAAATAAAAACCACTGACTTGGATACCAAATGTAGACCAGTGGCATGGATACAAATGCTATCCTTTAGTTAGGCTCCTGAAATTTACAGGATTAACTTCAGAATATGACCAAAAAACTGAAGAAACTAACCCCAAATACAACGGCAACCCCTATATAACAACTACGTGACACTGAGTTCGTGGGTAATTAAAATAACGTTTTTGATGCCAAGCCTAACAATAGGCGAGTGAAAACAATGAATCGCGGCGCAACTTGCAGTGAAATTCACCGCAAAAACGCACACAGCTTACTTGTCCTAATTGAAGAGAATGATAAGGAATAGTCGTGGATTCGAACTCGATCACAACATTGTTACCAAGATAGCCGTCAGAGAGCTCTTGATTTCATTGGCCACAGCCTTAGGTCTAATTGTGCGGCTTTGATATACGAACGCTGCTTAAATAAAAGTGATAGGCCAAAATATTCACTACCGAGTGAGCGAAATTCATGCAATTGGCTCAATAATAGTGATGAGTATGACATGCTTCCGTTCGGCATGCGATAAACCCGAAAGATGAGACGCATAGCATTACCGTCTTGGTCGGTTTTGAGACTGATATTTGCCGTCAATAACTGCGATACGCTTAATTAACCGAGCTCTGTGGAACAATCGTATGTTTTTTTTCGTCATTTAGAGGAGCGGAGACCGAGACAAAACAATGTCACACGATTCTATTTACCTTGAAAACTTAACGAAGGTTACTGAATTTTAAAAGTATACGCTTGAAGGTACAACAGTAAGTAAAAGTATGTGCGCATAGGTACAAAAATGAGTAAAAATATAGGCTTGAAACGTGCAACTAATTTGATGGTATTGTAGTATCTTGACACAAAGTAAAAGGACAGAATTAAACATGGGCCGCACTCTTCTTTTCACAAATATCACAATGTTAGGTATAAGTTGATACGTGAGCACAAGAAGGCGGGAAGCAAAAGCAGTGCGTCAGCGGACGTGAGGGAAAATAGAGCAGCCACAACGAGATCATCTCTAGAGCTCCCGAGGAGAAGCCTTATTAATGAGGATGAAGAGCAATTTGACCGCCGCGTGTTGGGATTTGCCACTTCCCCTGCCACAGAGCTACAGAGTGCCGTGAAATTATATACCAGCTGCCTTGCAAAAAAACATTTCAAGCAAATCCTCTAAATAGCACAACTCTTGCACTCAAGGGCAAGTAACACTTAGGATTACGTACACATGATCGAAGATAATTAAAAAATAAAATAAAGATCGAAAATATTTCGTAACATCCGTATGGTTCAAGCGATAACGAGATGAATTGTACAATACCTCAATTGCCTGTCTGGTTAAATATTACCAGAAGCTGTACAATTACCAACCGCATTGTCGTCAGCATATTTTATTTGTAGCGACTTATGAGAACGAATACAACCACAAAAATATACCAAGAGTCGTAAGAGGTGCTATGGCGGTAGAATTTCGGGTAAGCGGGCGAAAATTTCTTGACCATTTTCAAACGTTCTACAGCACACACGCTTTTTGAAGGAGAACATTGAAAATAAGTTTTCAAACGCTCTACAGCACATACTTAGGTGCGTTTTTCAAAGGAGAACATTGAAAATAAAAAATGTACATCTCATAAATTCGCAAACTCGTGCATTTAAATTTATTCCTAAATCGTGCGTTTACGTGCATTAGGTTTCAAGTTTCGCAATAGGTGTTTTGATTACAAATTAAGTCAAAAGTTGATGCAGATTTCACAAAGGTTTAGTACTTTACGAAAAAATATTACTCAGTACTCACTGCAGTGAGTGACAGCGCATTTTCTCGTTGCCGAGTATCATGGATACTCGGCAACGTGAAGTCGCAGACAGACAGACAGACGGACGGACGGACGGACGGACGGACATGACGAGCACAATAGCGCCTTTTATACATAAATGAGAGAATGCGCTAAAAATATCTGCTCGAAGCTCTAGGAGTTGGTGAGAAAGCTCAAACAGATGCGCTAGAAACACGACCGAATTCTCCTAACAAGTCGACAATCGCTTAGGAGTAGCACAATACTATATACTATCACTTAGGAGTAGCACAATACTATATATTATCACTTAGGAGTAGCACAATACTCACGTCTGGGCTTATCTCCTTCTGAAAGAGAAACGAAACCAAATTAGAGCCCGACTTACACAAGCCACATGGAGGGTATCTATGACAAATGTTATTTCATCCTTCAATACTAATATTTAATTCATATATCAAGAAACACTAATTCATGTGTTCAAATGAAACGAAAAAGTTTAAAATAAGCTTTCGCCAATTACCAAAGACAAACAGGATTTAATCAAAGAACTGTGATTTATCGAGATGGAAATATTTTGATCAATAGTGCGTTAGAGAAACTATGCAGAATAGGCCACATAAACCTTAAATTCAACACGAGCTTCTAGTGCATTCCATACTCACCCCCGACAGCGTCGAGCATGCGATAAAATCTGTACTCGAGGTGCAATTGTGGAGCTTTCGCTTTGATGGGTTCCTGAAAAAACGAAATGAACGACATTTGATCAACGACGAATCATTCCACGTCGACTGATGGTAATATAAAATAATGAGGAAATAGTTCTGTATATCGCATATCAATTTAATTAACGAAAAATATATCATTTCACGTTCGGTAAAGTTAGATAACATATAATTTCACGTTAAACGAGATGAATAACACATTAGTTCATGTTAAATAAAATCAACAACAGATCGACTAGAGAGAACTGACGAGATTCTGTCCAAATTCGAACAAATGCACGGTTGAAATAACGAGTATATCAAATAAGTCGGCCCATTCTCATAGAGTTCATACAGCATCAACTTTTAACGTGAAAAAATGTTTGAAAATTCGACATGTTCGAGCTAACAGACAAATTTAGAATGATATTCCATTGAAACTCATAACAACTGACACGGTCTGGGCTTCATGGCAATGCAATATCACATACCTAAAGAAATCCATCGAATATCAAGAAAAAGTCTTAATAATCGAGATCATAAGTTCAAGCGTGGGCGAATCCAAGTGACCAGAGGGTTTAGCAACATAACTTTTAACGTCCATCATGAACTCTACAAAAAAATTTAAACACTGAGACGAATTAGACAGACAGAATTACGATATCTCAAAAACGAACAGATAAATACTCACCAATTTAATCGCAACATGTTCATTTGTATATAGATTTTTTCCTGAAAAGGAAAGAAAAACAGAATTAGTCACAGGGATATCAGTGCTCAGCTCAGAAACAAATACTTCGAGATCCATTAACAAGCTGGGGATAAACCGATTAAAATGAACAACTTAACACCAAAATCTCTCGTCAAATAATTTAGAACCAAATGAAACTTATGCAACAACTCACTAGATTCACAAACTTATGGCTGAAATTAGAATCAGAGGTAAATGCCAAACTCGCAGTTTGCTTCAAAATTCAAAACTTTTGAAAATAAAACGATAAACTGCACAGATACAGAAAAATAATTTCACTTGGCCTACGCATCGCGGAAGCGATTCTCAAAATTAATTGGGAAGACCCTAACAGGACGGAGGAAAGTATTTTTCATAATAAAGTTAGAAATCGAGAAAACGTAACGAGGCAGATGGATATAAACGGGAATGGTCATAACGATTCGAGACGCACGGTAACGATACGATACATTCTAATGAGGCACGAGATGAAAGGGGATAAGATAAATAATTGAGATTACAATCCGAGACATTACGGGATATTCCATTACGATCCGAGACGCAACGAAGCATCTCATTGCCATACGAGATACAACGAAGCATTTCATTGCCATACGAGATACAACGAAGAATTTCATTGCCATACGAGATACAACGAAGCATTTCATTGCCATACGAGATACAACGAAGCCTTCCATGGCGAGACACGAAGCATTCCATGGCGAGACACTATGAGATATTTAAATAAGAAACCAGACTATGGATTAGCGAGGTCAAGCCGTGATTAATGACGGGCAGTTGGGCAGATCTGGCGGCACTGGGCTGCCACAACTTGGACGCAATTATCGTTAAGTGAATTGTCTATAATTTCCTAGACCGATGTAACAAAATTTCATTTTACGGGGGACTTGTGAAAAAACAAACGAAATGCAAGAAGACTACGCGGTGTAAGCTAAGCCAAAAGTCAGTTCAAACTTGAGGTAATATTTACAAGGCAGTACGAGATAGCTTGACTGGTAAAACATTGTAACAAATTTCGGATGCAAAGGCATTATGCAATTTTAACATTAAAAGTTAACTGTTACATCTCACGTTAAACATAATTATACTTCGTCTTGTCTCGGTATCATTCCAGATTTTCAACGAGTTGAAAAAGTCTTCATTTTTATCGCTAATAGGGAAAAAAGTAGATTGTTCTATCTTCAATGAAAAACGAGACGCAGAAGCTTGACTTCAGTCGAGTTTACTCTCGAGCGAATATCATTTGAATAAAGAATGAGTTTGATGAACCCAGAACAAATAAGAAGCATCGAAGCCTAGCATATATATAGCTGAACACAATTACAATGTGAACATGTGTTACGCGAACAAAAGGCCTTTTTTTCATCGACATTGCACCAAGTAGTTAGAAATTAAGCAACACTAGCAAACATCTGATCAACATCACAGCCAATGCAACAATGAAAAATACACAAATTAAACTACGTCAGAAAGCTGTCTATAAGGCATTCCAAAATTAAACCTGAAAATCATTCCCTCAGAGGACAAATTCAATCAGGTTGTTAATGCACAATATTTAAGAAGCTATATGTGCTACTAAGCAGATCGAAATTAAATAATTAAGGTCACTTGTTTGCTTAAATCGCAAATTAACTAAGAATTTAAAAGCAAAGAATTCTTTGCTCTTCCTTTGCTCTTTATAGAAAGAGCAAAGAAAGGTTTTCTATAAATATGAATTTTGGTGGACAATTCTTTGCTTTTAAATTCTTAGCACATCGAAATGTTCAAGCCTTTGAATAATTTTCAATGTTAAATGCAGAGTACATAGTTTTATATATTATAATCTCAAGCCATATTACAAATAAGGATAAAATCTACTAAGAAAAATTTATATATGTCTATTTCAGTTGTAACAGGTAGGGAATTTCTTGAGACCAACTGATATACAACAATAATTACAAAACAGAATCACTTGGAAGGTAAGATGACTTACCTAGTCTTAATTCTCCGAAGTTACCACAGCCTATTTTCTTGCCCACTCTATAGTTGGGGCCCACGAAGAGTTCTAACGAATTAGAAGACGATGATGTACGCGAGCCAGGCTGCATGGTTGGCCCAGTCCGGTTGCTTGCACTTGTTCTGGAGACACGTCGAGAGTTTGGATCTTGGTCGTCTTTATTGCCTGTCCCGCCACCTGCTCTCGGCCGGTCACTCTTTTGCATTGTGGTAACAAGCACTTCTCTTTAAAATAACATCTCAAACCATTCCATGTTTCACCAAACTACACCAACAGGGATGTGTTAACACCATCCTGAATGCACACGATTACCTAAGTCATGGCACTACCACTAACTCATAAGGAACATCTGAAATGAATAATTCATTCATCATTAGATAACACATAGTAATTAAAATTCCAAATATTCTGTCATAAATAACAAAATTGTCATCAATCATTTGTTTGTCCAATTTATTGCAAGTAGCTTTTCATTTCACTGACAATCAGCCATTGAATAAAATATGTTCTCATAAGTTTCATGTTGAGTTATTTTACAATATTTTCCTCTTCATAATTTTTGACATACACTCCAACATGTTTTTGATATGTGCATAAAGAAACATAAGATGAACAGGCACCTTAGCAGAGTCTAGGTCATAGAAAATGACATTCAAAAGTGAAGATGAAGCTATACAATAATTCATTCATAAGCACTTACAACTAATGTTTATTTGACTTGGCTACCATATTGAATAGAATTGTAATTCATTTATGTTATGCTTCATAAATGAAACAATTTGGCTTTAAGTTCCTACTCTGTCCACCCCTACTAATTACCGTTTTTGATATTGCTATCTACTCCTAGTAGAGAAATCAATGCCACAGAATGAATGCATGTATATATATTTATGACGGTAGCAGAGGTGGGGATCTACTGTTCTGAGTGAGGGCACGGGAAGGGGCTACATGGGTGTGAAAGATATTCCCCCTGAATTCCACTCATACAAAGGGGAATTTGGGGATAGAGGTGGAGTGTTTTGTGTGATATGAGTGTGAAGGAAACTGTGAAGCATCTGATACTAAAATGTTGGTTTATGGCAGTGAAAGACAAGTTATGATGAAGATTCTAAACTAGCAATTAAAAAGCGGTTAGAGCAATAGCATGGGGTATGAGAGCATATGTGACAAGTGGATTGCAGTGAATATGGGTTCACTGAGGGAGCAATTGTGATTGTGACTAAGAATGCATAGCAAAATCTAGAGATTATGTGAGCCTGAGAGAGTATAAAGAGGAGAGGGATGGCAAGTATTCAGTTTATTACAAAGTTCAATGAGTGTAAATATCAATACTGTACTAACAATTATAGGATGCATGTCCAGTTTCATAATTACTGGTACATATATTTTAATCTTGTGTGATGTTATGAATAAGGAGTTAGGCTCATACAATATGTGATCAAATAGGCTTCCTAATTAAATATATTTTATCCTTGTGTAAAGATCCGAGGTTAGCATGCAAACTAAATTCCAATTATAGTGACAGAGGAAATTCAAACTTCATTTGATCCCACACCTTCCTAATTTGGTGACATTGTCAGTACTATGCACAATCTATTTCAAGCTAAAAAATTATAGTGTGCCTTCGAAAACACAAAATATGAGCTGTGTCATTGTAATTACAAAATTCATTACTAAGTTTGGAGCTTGCTCCATCTGTTACATACAAACCTCAATAAAATATTGTTTTTATTATGGATGATCTCTTCAAAAATTATTAGAAAGAATCATAAAATATTCGTTTAGTGAGAAAGCCAAGAGTTAAAGAATGCCAACTTCTTTCAATTTGTCTACAATGTTTTCAAATTGACAAAGAGCAGTTGTTTACTGTTTTAAATTCCTGTTTAAATACTCTAGAGTGCTGAATCAACTTCAGTTGAACAGGTACATGTGGCATCTCATAGAAAGCAGGCTTCCATCATTATTCATGACAGACTGTCAAAAGCATCAGCTGTTCCAGTCATATTGTTTCAAGAAGTGTGGTTTGTTTGAAAGGTAAAGTGTCTTTAAAAAAACACTGCTCATTACAATACAGCGAGACATTTTTTTTTAATAACTTGACAATAGCCAATCAAGATGTAAAAATATATGTGTAAGTTATCTAACAGTTCAAGCTTTGAGATTTGCACTGTACAATTATATGAGTACGAATTGAAATAAAAATGACTTGCAATAAATACATTTGAGTTAACAAAATAATGGAGGAAGATTCCATCCACAACTTCAAGTTACACTTTTTATTGCATATTCTGGAGATGAATTAACAAACACAATATATATTATAGAAAGTTATGATAGGAAAATGTTCACAGTTCCATTATCATAAATAATTGCAATGCACAGTTCTAAAATAATATATTTTGATTTAGATAATAACATCTAACTCATTGCTGACATGCAAATCTAGCATTTGAAACTGATACCGTCAACCGGGGCTACTCGGGAATGTTTTGAGCGTTTTTTGTTAATAACTGTTAATAACTTCTTACGATGAAACATTTCATAAACAAGTTTAGGCTCATTTTATAGCTCTTTGCGAGGGCTATCGAATGGCATTGTAAAAAAAATTCCATATGCTATTCATAAGGAGCCAGAAGCAAAAACAAAGAGTGTCCGAGTAGCCCCGTTGAACGGGGCTACTCGGGACACTTGGATTAAAACTTCATTTTAAAACATTTGAAGCATGCAGAGTGTACTCATCCATTACTAACAGTACTCTGAAGTCCTCCTCTTTCATTGTAGATGATGTAGAGGTAGAATAAATGACATTTCCTGTGTTTTTACTTGTTTTTCATTTATTGATATGATATTACCATATACATTAATTACCGTACCTATTATTGATGTGACATTATCGTATTATTGATGCAATATTACCATATCCATGAACATGCCATTGAGCATTTACAACAACCTTGTCCACTGCAAGCTTCATATCAGCAGCCTTATAGCATTTCTTCTGTATCTGTAAGCTTACAGGACGGATTGTAATTTCACACCATTTTAATTACATTAAGTGAATTTACTACAAAAAAGATTGTGAAAAACATACCTGAAACAGAAAGGAATGTTTTAGTGACAACCATCATATGTTTTGGAGAAATAAATCATAGTTTAGGTCAATTACTTTTCATTCTGTGATGCCTGGTGCACAATTCTATACATGACATTCCATGCACAATTTTGTGATGACCAATGATGCACTAATTTTTCGATAAGTGAAATTTTTTTGCCAAGTGAGGTGAATGTTCTAAATATTCTTTGTTTTTAATCAATTTTTTTCTTAACTGGAGCCTTTGCTAACTGAGGTTCTACTGTAAATGCGTTTTTGGGGGTGTCCCAAATGTCCCGAGTAGCCCCACCGTGCTGAAATGGCCGCCATTTTTTTTAATGAGATAGGACAATTCCGTCAATTACGTTTTCAAGCCAACACCTGGGTGCATCTTTTATGTAAGTAAAATTTTTTAATACGGTGAATAATTTTTTGCTACAGACCTTAGCAGAAGTAACTTTTCAAAATAGCGTTTTTCACCATTTTTTCATGAATTTTTCAAAGCTAGTAAATGTAGTATTTTTTGACTTCCTCTATACTACATAGATAGGAAAAATGATGACATTTATGCCACAATATTTAGTTTTGCAATATTCCAATTAGTTTAGCTACTATAACAGTTGTACGCCGTGTCAGAGGACTGTCCCGAGAAGCCCCGCCAGTCCCGGGTAGCCCCGGTTGACGGTACAACTGAGCCATGTTTTCAAAATTCCAAGTTTAGGTTGTGTAAATTTTGAGAAGTGATTCAACTTCAAAGCTCAAAAAAAAATTTTTAATATGTAAATGTGAGTGATTAGTTTATGAGTTCATGCACAGAGATTAAATTGATTATATGTTTAACTGCTGTAGAAACTTCTTGTTTATCATATATTTAGGCTCGTATAAATTGTGGATGAAATTGTATTCAAAAGTCTCATGGTGATGCACCAAGTTTCCCATTTATGCATCCTAAAAAGTTTGGGTGATATATTTTGGTCTCTGCAACCATTTTTCTTTGGTACCATTTGATGTCCCAAACAGGTGCACTAAAAAGTATCTTATGTAATTACACTGAAAACTATTTGCATGGATCTAAAGGAAGTTCATGACCATTCACACAGAATTGCCAAATTTTGATGATTCAAAGAATTAATTCAAGCCATTTACCAATCGCAAACTTATTTACAAAGTCCTGCGCACGTGTTACCACAAATTTCTAATTTTACCCAAAAAACAGTCAAACAGCAACAATAACATTAATCTTTACTTTAATGGCAACTGAACACGTGATAATGCAGTCTGACTGCTCTGACGTGAATGCAACTATGCAATCTTCAACAAAAAGTTTTGGGTTGGCTTGTTATCATTACGTTCTGCAGGATATTTTAGCTGGAGCGTTAAAGTACTGTGGATTGCAGAAGTTTAAATTTTATGAAAAGACATGTTTGTGAAGTGCAAACCACAGTTTTCTCAATCAAACAAAAATACATGACATTAGAGCTGCAAGATTTCTTACTGACTCAAATTATATGATATTAGAGCCACAATAGGGTAAACGCACCATATTCCAACACTGTGGGTAATTCCAAAACCCGTCAACTTTTTTTTATATTAAGCTTGGTCTTTGTTCCACGCATGCATAGATGGTTGAAATAGTGAAATCATACTATTGCACGCAAGAATATTGCATAACACTAGGTCTAGTGGAAAATGTTAAGATCCGCTGAGCAAAAGTCCTAGTCAGCTAGTGAGAACATAGAAACGCATATGAAAGTTGATAGTTGACCTTGCTTTACTAAATAGTGATTAACTGTTTGTGTAGAAAGAATATTATGGTTTGAGACTTTTAAATAAGTCTGTGAATATATTAGGAATCCTTCAAGTATACTTGTATTCACTGATTTCAAGTGGTAAATAAATTAATAGATGATTGATTTAAGAGATGCTTTTGGACACATAAAAACTAATTCTGACACAGGGTGTCGGGATTACGAATTAAGATTTTGAAGCGCTGTTGGAATTAGTCTCACAATATGCCACATTTAGTCACACACAGTGTTTAAATTCAGCAATTTTGTAGATTTGAATTCCAAAGGCTTTTAAATAACTATGGCAACAGTTCGTGACGTTTCATCATTGCTGGCACATAGCGTGGTGTTTTGAGAGTGACATAAGCCAATCAGAACTCGAGTTGCGCATACGATGATTTATTTGTAGCTATTTATTTCTAGCTACATCTTTAAGGTGTTGGAATATGGTGCGTTTACCCTAATTAAAAA